AGAGTCAGGACCTCGGTTTAACGTCTCATCCGAAGGACGGTGCTTGTTGACAGTATAGTGTCCCCGTCACTATACTGGGGCGCTAGGACCCACACAGACCACAGGGTGAGCACCCCCTGCTGGCCTCCCTAGCACCTCTTTCAGCAGCAACCTAGTTTTCCCAGGAGGTCTCCCATCCAGGTACTGACCAGGCTCAACCCTGCTTAGCTTCAGTGGGTATCTAGTCTTGGGCTACAGGGTGATATGGCTGCCGCTAAATTAAAGTGCTAAACTCTCATGCAGTGTGTGTTTCATTCATACTCGAAGCCGGAGGGTGCTCTCGCGCAGAAAGTCCAAACCGGATTTATAGAAGTAGCCTATTTTATAAGCTGAATAAAAAGCAGAAACGTAAACACAATAAACTCACGATTGCAGCAATATATGGTTTATGTGTGTTTTTCAAGTCATCTCCAGGTAATATGTAGGAAAATACAGGAATAAAATATTATGGAATAGAAATTTGCTCTTGAGTGTGACGCACTCATGTTTGAGCTAATTATGGTCTGTATGTAATTTGATCAGTGTTTGTATGTGAATAAATGCGTAAATTAAAATCTGTTTAACATATAAAGCGTCCGATCATGACTTGTAGAAGACTTTTGTGTAACACTTAAGGTGACATTTTCCAACCCTTATGTTATCCTTAGGAAAATGATAATAATAATAATAATTCATTACATTTATATAGCGCTTTTCTAGGCACTCAAAGCGCTTTACATTGTCAGGGGGTATCTCCTCATCCACCACCAGTGTGCAGCATCCACCTGGATGATGCAACGGCAGCCATAGTGCGCCAGAACGCCCACCACACACCAGCTTATTGGTGGAGAGGAGACAGAGTGATGAAGCCAATCAGCAGATATGGGGATGGTTAGGAGGCTATGATGATCAGAGGCCAATGGGCAAATTTGGCCAGGATGCCGGGGTTACACCCCTACTCTTTTCAAAAGACCTCCTGGGATTTATAATGACCACAGAGAGTCAGGACCTCGATTTAACGTCTCATCCGAAAGACGGTGCTTTTTGTCAGTATAGTGTCCCCGTCACTACACTGGGGCGTTAGGACCCACACAGACCACAGGGTGAGCACCCCCTGCTGGCCTCACTAACACCTCTTCGCGAGTAAACTGTTCTCTCATTGGTCAAAGTTCCACGGTTTATTTTCCAGGATTCCATTTAGCTGTCACGGCTGTCATCCGTCAGGATGGAACAACAACAGCTTCGTGGGCTTGTTGTTTTTTTTGTAGCTGTTATGTTAATTTATCATTTTGAGCAGGAGTCCAGGATTCATCGTGAAAACATTTTTAAAATGCACCTAAGAAGAGCAATAAGACGGCATTATAAAAAGAAAAAGTGCACTTTGGTTTTGAATGGCGAAGATGTGCTCACCCACAGACATTCACAGGTTCATTTTGAAGTATTAGCAAAACAACAAAGCTAAAAAAACAACATATGCCCAAATGAACCGAGCTAAGGGGGGAAACGCGCCAGGTTCTGAAACAACGGGCCAGGTGTGAAAGCACCCTAATTGAATAGGTTGAATTACACAAATTAAGTAGGTACTAGTAGTTATTAGTAAAATTGAGAAAGATACCAGTCACTGTTTGATTACTTAAAATAATTACTAGTAACATAGTAAGTACTAGTTAGTTTTAATGAAAAATGTTAAATGGCTTGCCACAGCACCACACATGCACTGCAACAGAGCTAATTTTGTCAACTCCAGTGGCATGCTTCAGTTGTCCACATGGTACAAATATATCATGGTTGTTTCCTAATACAGTGTCTTGTGTTGTAACTCCATTTGACAGTGACTTGTGCTCTGGTTTCCTTCGATTTGAAGCTTTTGAAGTTAAAGCCAGGCCTTCAGAGGCATCGTAATAGAAAATCTGAACATGACATGACAAAGTCAGCCTGCTCTTTGAAAGTGACAGCACCTTTTATAACTCTAAAACTACAGCACTCTCAATTACGTTAATTAAAATTGATCAGAATTACTTCCATGTTAGACTGATGGGTCAGATGCACTGACCAGTGTTGACCAGAAGAAAACATCAAACATAATCTTTAACTCCACTGAACATCTCACAGGTCCTAATTTGTTCAGACAGCAAACTCATTAGTATAGCAGATTTTCAGTCATTTTCTGTCACTTCAAAATGACCAGCAATAGACTGAGGTTAGTTGAGGGGAATTGAATGACTGTGAACCAGCAGCTGTCAGGCAGAACTGTCTTTCTAACTTTCTAATTTGTCAGTGTCACCCAACATGAATGGATCAGTTGCCTAATATTTCCAAATGGCAAACAGGCTGTCAGATAAAACGAGCAGCTGTCCTTTCAGCTTTATATTTTTCTCTGATTGTTAGACATTGTTCATTTTGAAATCGAGTCAAATTTGAGAAGTGTTCATAGCCATTAATAATATGTCACCTAGTGTTTTGAATGGGCAATATTCTAACAATACTGAAGCTGTAGCACAATAATAAGTTTATTCTGCAA